TACACTACTATTGCTACTAGTTCTACTATAAGTTATACCTCCACGACTACTACTACTAGTTATACTTCGACTACAACTACTACTGCAACTTCTACTACTATCTTCGTATCTATAATTATTTCTATATTTTCCAATTTTAATATTATTGTTGCTTTATTTGTATTATTAATATAATCATTGTCATGATGTAATGGCGCGTGTTGTCCTGCAGGAGGCGGTGTTGCGCTCCTTCTTCCTCCCCGGGGATCCTCAGAACTTTGAGCTGAAGGAGGTCGTCGCCGTGCAGCGTCTCCATAGCGACGACATATTCAACCGTAACGGGGACCATGACAACCATTCCCCCGATAACGGGACCCCCGACAACCGGACCCCCCCGAGGGAGGGTTGCCCCGACAACGCCTGGCTGCTGAGGCTCCGCCCCCGTGACCCAGAGGTCATCGAGGTGTTCTCCAGCTGGAACAGGTGAGGAACAGCTGATCACACACACCTGTATTTACTGGTTCTACATACTGGTGTTCTCCCAGTCTGTTAATGGTTCTACATACTGGTGTTCTCCCAGTCTGTTAATGGTTCTACATACTGGTGTTCTCCCAGTCTGTTAATGGTTCTACATGTTGGTGTTCTCCCAGTCTGTTAATGGTTCTACATACTGGTGTTCTCCCAGTCTGTTAATTGTTCTACATGTTGGTGTTCTCCCAGTCTGTTAATGGTTCTACATGTTGGTGTTCTCCCAGTCTGTTAATGGTTCTACGTGTTGGTGTTCTCCCAGTCTGTTAATGGTTCTACATGTTGGTGTTCTCCCAGTCTGTTAATGGTTCTACATGTTGGTGTTCTCCCAGTCTGTTAATGGTTCTACATGTTGGTGTTCTCCCAGTCTGTTAATGGTTCTACATGTTGGTGTTCTCCCAGTCTGTTAAGGTTCTACATGTTCTCCCAGTCTGTTAATGGTTCTACATGTTGGTGTTCTCCCAGTCTGTTAATGGTTCTTCATGTTCTCCCAGTCTGTTAATGGTTCGACATGTTGGTGTTCTCCCAGTCTGTTAATGGTTCTACGTGTTGGTGTTCTCCCAGTCTGTTAATGGTTCTACATGTTCTCCCAGTCTGTTAATGGTTCTACATGTTGGTGTTCTCCCAGTCTGTTAATGGTTCTACGTGTTGGTGTTCTCCCAGTCTGTTAATGGTTCTACATGTTCTCCCAGTCTGTTAATGGTTCTACATGTTCTCCCAGTCTGTTAATGGTTCTACATGTTCTCCCAGTCTGTTAAGTGTTCTACATGTTCTCCCAGTCTGTTAATGGTTCTACATGTTGGTGTTCTCCCAGTCTGTTAATGGTTCTACATGTTGGTGTTCTCCCAGTCTGTTAATGGTTCTACATGTTGGTGTTCTCCCAGTCTGTTAATGGTTCTACATGTTGGTGTTCTCCCAGTCTGTTAATGGTTCTTCATGTTCTCCCAGTCTGTTAATGGTTCGACATGTTGGTGTTCTCCCAGTCTGTTAATGGTTCTACGTGTTGGTGTTCTCCCAGTCTGTTAATGGTTCTACATGTTCTCCCAGTCTGTTAATGGTTCTACATGTTGGTGTTCTCCCAGTCTTTTAATGGTTCTACATGTTCTCCCAGTCTGTTAATGGTTCTACATGTTGGTGTTCTCCCAGTCCGTTAATGGTTCTACATGTTTGTGTTCTCCCAGTCTGTTAATGGTTCTTCATGTTCTCCCAGTCTGTTAATGGTTCTACATGTTGGTGTTCTCCCAGTCTGTTAATGGTTCTACATGTTCTCCCAGTCTGTTAATGGTTCTACATGTTCTCCCAGTCTGTTAATGGTTCTACATGTTCTCCCAGTCTGTTAATGGTTCTACATACTGGTATTTCCCCAGCTTCTTCATGGTTTTTAATGATCAAACTTGACCATAATTTCCCCAGTTTTTTTTCATGTTTAAACACAACAGTATGTTCCAGTGTAATGGTTCTACGTGTATGTTCTTCCAGTTCCTTCATGGTGTTCTGTGTTTCAGGTCCTTCGTCTCGGTCTCCGTCTCTAAAGACAGCTCAGCAGAGACGGTTCTCTCAGATGTCCTCAGGCGGCTGGACAGAAAGGTGACATTTTCACACAGAAAGCAAATAAAACACAGCGTCATATTTATTCTGGGATGCCGTATATTTACCAGATCCACAAGTTATTCTGCTTCTAACCTGTGTGTGTGTGTGTGTGTGTGTCAGGAGGAGGATGTGTCCAGCTTCAGTCTGATGGAGGTCTACATGAGCAGCAAGCAAGGTGAGCGCTAACATCATGATAATACATAAAGAGAAAGGGATATTTTATTTTTCTTCTTATGTTGAACAATATATTTTTCTATTATTGTCTCATAAGAAAGTAATAAATATGATTTTAACATCAAATTAATGTCCGTTTTAATATATATTTATACATGTATTATTATGAATTTAAATAGTTTTTGTTATTAGAATAGTTTATTTATTCTTTATTCATTTGTCCCCGTCCCCCCTGCAGTCCAGAGACAGACGCTGTCCCCTCAGGAGAAGATCCTGGAGAAGCTGCAGGAGATCAGGAAGGTGAGGCTCGTTAAAACACACAGCTTGTTTTAGATTAAACAAAACACACATATCGTTTGTTTAAAATGAAATAAAGGTTACAGGACGAGTGTCTTTATTTGAATTTATCCAAAGATCTCTTAATTATAACTTGTACGTGAGTCAAACTCCTAATGGAATGAGACACATGGACATGAACAGGTGACTCTAACGAGGTTAATTGCTTCATTTGATAATTTGTTACTTGGTTGATTGTTTAATTGGCGAATTTGATAATTGATTAATTGATGTATTTTATTTCCCAGGTGTCTTTGCGTCAGATGAACCAGACGCGGTTGGTGGCGGTGCCGAACAGGAAGGGGGGGGTCCTCTCTGCTCAGCAGGGGGTCCAGGTGAGTCTGCTGATCGGAGGCCTGGACCCCCTGCTGAGCAGAGAGGAATACGAGAGGCTGATCCAGGAGCAGCTGACCAACAAGAGTGAGACACACACACACACACACACACACACACACACACACACACACACACACACACACACACACACACACACACACACACACACACACACACACACACACACACACACACACAGGCACACACACACACACACACACACACACACAGACA